CCCCCTCCCCAACATAAAAACCAACCCCAACCCCCCACCCCCCAGCTCCGCTATGGGGGAATGGTGCCATGATCATCAAAATGGGGATGTACTTTAACCATGCATGTCCTTAGAAACCCAATCTGTGCAAATGTTGTGTGCCAGTCTGTGAGGGGATCTTCTGATCCCCAGGAAAGTGGGTACTAAGACCCTGAGGCTGCTAGATGCTGGACAGAGGGGAGACACTAGCCTTCAAGTCTCACAGCACTCGCACATTGGTTTAGCACACTGAAGCCAGGATCAGAGCATTGCCTACGTACACTGCTCTGAGCTGGAGCAGGGCAGCTCTCCCCGCAGCTACAGGGAGAGAAGAGTTCATGTGTGTGGTCTTGGATCCTGGTAGCCTGGGCAGAGATGACCAGACAGTTTCAGGGAAGGCTTTGCTCATCTTCCAGGTGCAGATGTGTCTGGTCGAAGAGGAGGGGCTGAGTGGGACTGTTCACGCCATGGCTTGGAAGGGTCTTGGTAGTGAAATCAGATGACCCTGAATGGAATAACAGAGAAGTTACAGTCCAGACTAAAGGCTTACCCTCACTGCAGTCACTGCTGCTTCCTAGCCACAAGGGGCAGTTCAGGATAAGTGGTGCTCTGCAGGACAAAAGGGCTGGAGGGGGCACATGGGCACAGCTGCTTTCTGGGGGTCTGAGGAAAGCAATCTGCAAACAGGACACTCCTCACAAAGACTCTAGCAGGGTTTGGATGCACAATGAACCCCTCTTTCTGGGAAACAAAGTTGAGAGTGGTAGGCTGGGTGGGGCTCACACAGGATTTCAACTCCAATCTCTACAGCTAATCCCTCTACCCCATCCCCCACCAAACCTGGGCAGGTCATGGAGGCAGGGGACCCCGGAGTAGGAACCTGAGCAGAGAAGGGAATGTGCTCAGACATGGGCTCTGCACACTGTCCTGACACAGCAAGCAAAATATGCACATGCCTGGGATCAGACTGCCTGTGCCAAGCACCTGCGGTCAGCTCAGTGTCCTGGATGCACATTTTCCTGCCAACCATGTTGGGTTACTAAAATGTTTAGAACACATGATGCCCAAAGACCTGCTGCAGGATCCCTGCTCCCCGGAGACCTGCAGCTCAGGCTAAATTTACCCCTCTCTTGGGCAAAAAAAGAGAGAGACAGTGAGGGGGCCTGAAGAGACATGCTGTGAGCACAGTGATGCTCTGCACCTGGCAGTTGGCAGAGGCACAAGCTAGCCTGGAAACACCAACCACTACAGTGCTGGGAGCTGAGTTGAGCTCCAGAATTCAGGACAACTGGCTTGACATGTGCTCACCTCACTGCTCTGAGGCCCCTGTGGGATGAAGTGTCCATCACAGCAGCACACACTGGTGGGGTAGAGAGAAGGGACAACCAGGCTCCAGCCCTGCCAGCATGTCTGCCCTCCCCAAAAGGCTCCTGCTGCCCCATACAATACAGTGGTGCATAACAAAGAATGAGAAGACGTACCAGTTTACTCCTCTATACCAATAGAGCAGGAATCAGGACCCAGTGCTGCCCAAGACAGGAGGGAGAAGGCAGACAGGAAGGAAGGAGACATTAGAGAAGTGCTCAGAACAGACTGCAACTCTACAGGAGAAAATAGGCTGCACAAGTTTCTGGGGCTGAGCTGGGAGCAGCTCAGTACATGGGTGCTGCACAGCCCTGCCCACCAGCACAACCCCACCCCACCCCAACTGCACTCTATAGGGCCACAGGAGAGACGGGGCAGCACTCAGGCAATCATGAAGAAACAACCTCCTTCCATGGAAGTCAAGTCACTGCTGGAGGATCCTAATGCATGGAACCCAGAGCCTGCCTGCAGGACAGGCAGAATACTGTCTCCATCCTCCTTGCTACCCATACATGCCCTAAAAGCTGATCTCCCACTCTAGTAAGAGACAGCCCAGGGGGCAATGTCACAGCCCCCTGGCTGGCCAGCCAGCAATGTCTACTGTTGCATCTCCTTAGCAAAGCAGGTCTGGTCTTTCCCCTCCCTTGGCCACTGGTGTGAAGATCTCAAGCAATGATATTAGGAGCCTGCATATCTTGCCATGTGCTCCTGTAGGTATGATGAGGGCCTGCTGCTGGGTTCTTCTCCTCAGGGTATGTCACACAGCTGGAGCTGACTGAACATTGTGACCTGTCCAACTGGATGTGGCCATCATTAGATAGGCTACCAGATGTGCCAGTGTCAGTTGTATTGACCCATGGAGCTAAAAGTGGGTTGCAGGAGGAAGAGGGGAGGTTTCTCACTGGCAGGCATGGGGAGACTGCCATCATGTGTGTAATCATGTCATTTAGCAGTGGCTGCAGCCCAAAGAGCAGAAAGGAGAAAGGGTGGCAAGGAGAGAAGGGAGGGGACGGGAAGAGAAAGACAAGAGGGTGAGGGGAAAAAAGAGATCCAAAGAGGCAGGGGACAGCAATGGGAGACAGAGGATGGCAAGCTACCGTTGTGTTAACCTCCATGTCTAGGGTACCCTATGGACAGCAGCTAGACATGTACCACCAAAGGGAAAGTGAGGGCAGGAGCCTGAGGAGAGTCCTGTCTTTGCTGAATTAACAAGACCAGGCTCACTGGGAAGGAGCTACCTGACTAGCGGATCCAGGGCAAGAAGCTGCAGGCATGTTGGCTCTGCCCCGAGTACATGCATGGCACAAAGCCCTCAGCAGTGCAGCCCCTCCAGGCTGGGCAGTTACCTGGCAGGTACACGTCTACTGGAGGGTCACTCTCAGACTGCGTAAGGCTCCTGTGCTCACTGCAGCTGCTCTCCTGCAGAACGTCTTCACCAGAGGGAGGGTGGCTACCTGGATCAGCAGGGAGCATGGAAAGCTCAGTCCTAACATGGCTGCTTCTCTCATGCAGCAGATGGGGGGCAGACAGTAGAGCTCTGCCCTTCCTCCCACCAGGGACAGGCCACTGCCAGCAAGGTTAGAATATGGGGAAACTTCCTTATTGCAACTTCCCGTCACTGAGCCCTTTGGGAAGGGCACTGGTCACAACACCAGAGTGAGAGACAGCTCAGTCCTCGCAATGGGATCCCAGCCTGAATCTCCACCCTGGGCCCAGAGTTGTGCTACTGCTGAATGAACGTTGCATATCAGTGCTGGAACGGGAATGATTTGCTGGGGGAGAACAAAGTGCCTTAGCTGGTAGGGAAAACCATCAACATGCTTCACCCCTCTCCTCAAAGGAAGTCATCTTCAAGCTGATCACTACGCAGCCCGGGGCAAAAAGGCTATGTACTGCTGCAAAATTGTCCATGGCATTTGGTTTGGGTTTTTTACTGACTCTGAATTTTCCTGTCCATTGTTGGTCA